TTTTTCAGCCCTCTGGGTAGTCCTTTTGTGCATATGGACTACTCAGAGGGCTGAAAAAGTTATTTTTGACTGGTCCTCACACTTTTGACCAGTCCTCGAATTTACATTTTATGTTTTGCGCCCTATCTTGTCACCGTGGTGAAGACAAGTAGTGGTGAAATGACTGACACAGTTGTTAAGAATGCCGCAACAGGCATAAATGTGAGGAAGGTCATAAGTGCGAGAACCGGTCAAAAATGTGACGACCAGTCAGAAATGACTTTTTTCATCCCTCTGAATAGTCCCTATGTGCATATGGACTAGTCAGAAGGCTGAAAAAGTTATTTTTGACCGGTCCTCGCATTTTTGACCAGTCCTTGAACTTACATTTGTCCTCACATTTTACGCTTTGCGCCCTATCTTGTCACCATAGTGAAGAGAAGTAGTGGTGAAATGACTGACACGGTTGTTAAGAATGACGCAACGGGCATAAATGTGAGGATGGTCATAAGTGCGAGGACCAGTCAGAAATGACTTTTTTCAGCCCTCTGAGAAGTCTCTATGCACATAGCCACGCCCACCCGGTCTCATGACCAACTAGCCATGCCCACCCGGTCACATGGCCAGCTAGCCATACCCACCCAGTCACATGACCACCAAGCCACACCCCCAACTAAGCCACGCCCACAGAACCGGTTGTTAAAAATCTTGAATCCCACCACTGCTTTCATCTCATGTAAGCAGAAACAGTATTTAAAATTTTGCTTGCAGTTGGACTTCTCCATGCCCAGACATTTGCTCAAGTCTTTCAGATTTAGTCTTATTTGTTTTTGAAGTTGGGGAATGCTGAAGTTCAGGATTTAAGTCCAGTAATCTCTCTTTATCTGGATTACATAATTCAAATGGAAACAGAGATGGATTATATATTGGGAAAGGAGCTGAGAACATGGGAAGAAAGGAAGATTTTGACAGAAGCATCAGATTGTGAGCATCAAATCTAGAGAGGAACTTTGCATTCTCCATCAGTCTGAATTTAGCTTTTTTTAGCATATTTAAATTTTAACATTTAATTCTTTAGCGTTATTAGATGTCCACAATTAATAAGTTGCACAAATCTATTGATTGCTTTTAAGTAGCTATTTTACTATCCCTATAAATGTACAAACTCTACGTTGTAATTTAAAATTGCTTTCTTAAAGCAAAATTCATTCTTTGGTTATCGTACTGAAAATATTACTGGATTCTGTTCTGCGATACTCCAAGTTGCATAGAAATGTTTTGGTGCTGAAAAGTCAAGGGAAACAAGTAGCTGAGACTCTTAATGGGTTCATACCAGGGGTGAAATCCAGCAGATTCTGACAGGTTCTGGAGAACCGGTAGCAGAAATTTTGAGTAGTTCAGAGAACTGGCAAATACTACCTCTGGCTGGTCCCAGAGTGGGGTGGGAATGGAGATTTTGCAGTGGAGTGGAGAGGGAATGGGGATTTTGCAATATCCTTCTCCTGAAGTGGGAAGGGAAGGGAGATTTTTGCAGAATCCTGCAACCCAGAATTGCGGTCACAGGACAATGGGATGCTGCCAATGGCCATAAATGCAATCCAGTTGCCAAGTGATCACGTGACCATGGGGAGATTGGCTGCCAGAACTTGTACTTACTGAGTCATAAGTACCTTTTGGAGGATCTATTGTAACTTTGAACAGTAGTTAAGTGACTGATCATAAGTTGAGAACTACCTGTATGTAACAATAAAAACAAAGCAAATTGGCAACCAAGGAAAAAACAACCAACAAATTGCATAATCGCTGCACAGGCTCTGTCACATATACATATCCCCAAGCATATTCCCCAGGGGTGTCAAACTCACAGGCCACGGGCCAGATGCGTCACATGGTGGCCACGCCCAGTTTAGCAAAGGGGGGAAAAGTCCCGATATGTCATGTGACTTCGCTGTGAAGATGCGAGTTTGACACCCGTCTTTGAGGATCAGGGCCAATTTAATCGCCAGAGGGGTGATGTTTCAAGCTGTGGGTGCCCTTTCCCTCCCACTTTTTTACAGTAAGGGAAGGAGTGGGAAGTAGGAGTACTTCTACTCTTTCCCATGCTTTCATGCTAGTACATGCTATAATACTACATGCTCTCTGTAGTATTATAGCCTACTGCTGTTCACACTCAAAGATTTGAGGATAGAAGGTTTAATCCCTTTATAATATACTTAGAGCTGAGGCTGCCTAATCATTGTGTTGCAACTGTCCATTTTCTGTCCTTAGTGATTGCTTTGGTAGAGAGAGGAGCTAAGCCAGCAAGCCTTCGGAGATTGCAAGTTTTCATGATGTATGTTCTAATATTATTTTAACCCATTTGAATGGGAAAGAGTTTAGTTGGACAGATTTCTAATTCCCTGCATCTTATTTTTTAAATCAAAGTTTCCTTGGCAGTTATCCAAGCTTCTGATTCTTAAGAGGCTAATCTTAGTGATGTACAACTTTAGTTAAAATAATCAATCATTTCATCATAGAGAGCTCCAAAATATACCCAAAGGTAAGTATGTTTATAGAGGGGTTAGGCATCAAACACTTAATTGTCTCTCAACTCCAAAAAAATAATTTCTATTTAACATTATAACCAGTTTCAATCAGAAATGTTCAGCAGCAGGAGATAACCATTATAGCAATCATAGTCCACAGCAAATGGTTCTGATAGCGATTAATGTGCCTACACAGCTACGTACCTGTCCATTAACATTTGCCTCAAAGATATATTGGGAATATATATATATATATGCTTTCAAACTCGATTCGCTAGCATTGCTGAGGCAGTTTTGTTCTTGCTGTTTTGCAGTCAATTGGAAATGGAATTAAACAGCAGTTCTACATAGCACTGGGTGTAGATCTATATTATCTGCAAGCACTTTTGCCATCTCTGCGGGGCAAGATTCTTCTCCAGATCTTACTTAGTAATTCTTTTCAGCAACGATTCACACACAACCACTTCTTTAGGGCTTCTGCCAATGGCTCACAGTTGAGCATGGCACGGCCGGCTTTAGTGATGTATTGCCTGCTAATTGCTCCTTTGTCACTTTTCTTTCTGGTTCTTTCTCCTCCTTTCTGAAATAATGCTAGTTAGCTATTAAAGATAAGGAGAAAAATTAGAGCACAGCCCCAGTCAATTTGGAAGATTGAAATTGAGTTTTTTCCCTCTTAAATTGAGCTTCACCTTCAGGTTTTATTTTGACATAACTGTAGTCCATCAAGATGTGTAAAACTGGTCATCACTTTCTACCTGAACCAGAACTAGGAAAGCAGTCTGGAGTGGTTTCCAGTTCTGTTTGACAAGGTCTTTATGCAGTTTGTTCATTAAAACCTTTTGGTTTATTCTGGAAAGAAAGAACATGCATTGTATATAAGAAGAGGAGTTGCATCTTTTTAGCAATCATGCAAATTTTCTGCAACCATCTTTGCAGAAGTTTTTTTTCTTTGTTTTTTTACAGAATGCACACATGTGCAGACAGACAGATTCAGTCATAGTCAAAGTTATCATTTGCAAAGCCTAGAGTTAGCTTTCACTCTCCTGTGTATTTTTATTCCTGCTTCACATTATTCCCCAAGTAAATCAACTTTTGAAAGCTCTGTCTCCAGAAATTGAAAGAGGAGAGTTAACCAATGGTAAATTTCTCTGGACTGTAGTTAACGTAAACTGGCATAAAATATATCATGATTTTAGGCTGTGGTGAAAACTTTCTGCTTCAGCCCCAATTTGGGGCTTAATGAAAATGTGGTTTATCTCATCTGAACTCACATATGGACATGGTTTGCTTAATTGTGTCTTTTTAAATATTATTGGGGGAGCTATGGATTATGACTGTAAGACATAAAAAAGTCATTTTATTATTTTCTCTACATTATAATCCTAGTGAAAATTATATTTCCTGAGTGCAATTTTTCTCTATTAGAAAACAGCAACTTTGGGGATAAGGAATTAAAACCTTGAATCTTAACCCTTTCTTTTTATAGAAATACTATTTAAAATTTAAAAAGAAAGCTTTAAAACATATAGAGTATTTACATGGAATGCTTATCCATAGCCAGCTTAATACATTTTATATTTTCATATGACATGAAGCATCTTAATCTAATAATTTGGGTTATGTTTGCACATGTTAGGCTAAAGTCTGGTCACTAATTTGTAGTACATTGTGCCATGCAACGCTATACCATGCAAACACAACCATTTACTGTATTGGGTTGTGTTGTTTCCAAGAGTTTGGAGAAAGTATGCAAATCTTTTTCTTTTTTGATGCATTAGTTACATTCTGTGTTACAGCATAACTGTTTCTAAAAACAAGCTAGAAGAACATACGCAATAATGGAAGAATCAAAGTTAGAACCCTGTTGAGCATTAATTTCTCTCTAGCTTCAAACTGTTGGTAATTAGGCATCACTGCAGAATCAACACAGGGTTGTTCTTAACAGCTCTGTATGACAGTATTCTTGTCCCAATTATATCCTTTTAATTTCCTCTTCCTTAATTTGGTATTTTCCACATGTCTGCTTAGTTTGTTTCTGTTTCATGTTTATAGATGTATTTCTAAAGAAGGCTATTAATTTGAATGGTACACAAAAATAAATTATATGATCTAGGACACAGGTGTCAAACTCGCGGCATCGTGTTGCCATCATGTGATGTATCGTGATATTTTTCCCCTTTGGGGAGCTGGGGTGGGCATGGCCTACATGTGATGCATCTGGTCCATGGGCTATCAGTTTGACACCCCAGATCTAGGAATGCGGTATGTGGATATACAGTATTCACATGTGAATATATTCACATGTCAATATGTATGTGGATACACATATATATACAACACACAAATATACAGACATACATTCACCCGTAGTCCTGTGCCTAGATAAAACTGTTTCCTAGCAATATATTGCATACTAACTAGTAATTCGTATTTATATTCATGCCTTCTGTGCACTTGGTAATGGAACAATGTTTCTCTTTCTTTTTCTCTTAATAGTGAGGGCACTGATTTACTACACTAAATAGGAAAGGCGTTGCTGCTTCATTCTCTGTCTCTCATATCTGTAAGTAATAAACATTATTAGGATCACTTTTTGCCAATATTATTCTTCCAATTTAGATACCACTTGGCTTTTCCTAAAAATTATGTAGTAATTTGCACCGTAGTTTTTTGTTGTTGTTTCCTTCTACGGAGGCTTACATTTTAGAAAACAAAACAACCCAAATCTCTCCATGCACTGTTATTCTTTACAGTTCATATGTTTTTATAACAGGGAAAAAAGTGAAATAATTTTATGTGCCTACAATTGCATTGTAAGTTAAATATATGTGCATCTTTCACATACTGCTCTAACATAAAGGAAGCATGAACAGACAGATAGGACTCTCTTCCATCAAATTTTGGGGACCAGAATAACAAAGTAGATCTCAGAAATGAAAGAATGCATAACATAGTTTTATCCATAAACATCTTTTTGCCTGTATCTGGCTATAGCAGGAACTCTGCATTTTATCATCTAACAGTTTTGATTTATTTTCTTTTTTTTAATTCTTTCCCCCCATTTACCAAAGTACCTCTATGCCTGTATTGCAAAATTGTTGGATGAAATATTTTTGATAATGGAGAAAAATGGTAGCAGAGAGAAGTAATTTTAAAAGTACTATTTAATTGGAGATAGGCAGAGAATCAAGAAATGCCTTCCACAGTTCAGGAAAAAGGGTTTAGATGAAGATATGTCTACATTCGATTGTTGTTTAAACTGCTGTATGTAGTATGACATTGTATTTTTTATATTGCATTATTGTTGTATGGCGTATGACATTTAGTAAAATGACAAATTTTCATTTGACCTATTTGAAGAATCAAGATATATTTTCTACTAAATATGTTTTGGATTTGTGTGACGAGCTTAATTTAAATACAATTCTGTGTAATGTGTTGCCTGAGCAAAGCCATATACTACTCTTCCTAGGCATTGCCTTATAGCCAAATCAATGATTGTGTCTGCACAACTCATTGGACAAATTAGCCAACTCTTTATTGTCCAGGATGCTTGCAAGTTTAGTCAGAGTATTTATTTCTTATTTAGTGTGTCATGATTTGTTGGGTTAATTGAATAAATTCTAGTTAAATGAACAATAGGGTTATAAGTTATGAGAGCATAACCGCTGTTGAATTATTTCTTTTAGAAGGTCTTCATGGTATTTGGCAGCAATTCAGGCTGAATTCACACCTAGCAATAAGACAGATATAATATTGGTTAGTAAGCAGGCCACAATAACTGAGTTTGCATTCAAAATTAATGTCAAGCCCCAACCAGCTTGCCATACCTGGAGGGGAGGGGGAGGGGAAGGCAGAAATAGCAGCAGTGGCAGGAACAGCTGCATGGCCAGGCGGTGACGAGGAGCCTGGCTGGGACAGTGTCGGCTCCAGCCACAGCAGCCGCAGCAGCGAGAGAGGCTATGGAGGCATTCTCCCCCGCACAGCTGATTGGTGGCTTCCCGCAACCCAGCTGGTCAGCGCCAGATGCAACAGCATGCAGGCAAAGCAGGCGGAGGCCAGACAGAGGCCGGAGGCCTGAGCATCGGATGGTGGACTGCTAAAGTGGAACTGAACGCAGACACCGGATACTGGTTATGTGGGTGGAACTGGGGTGTGTGGCCCTGCCTATATGGAGTGCTGGGAGCGGTAGCTCCCATCGCTGACTTTGCAACAGACTGCTATGTACTCATTTGTGCCAGGCCTCAGGCTTGGATAAACCTGTATCAAACAGTTCAAGAGCTTGCTTATTGCTGCGTTCACAAGGCCTGGGAATTTGGACAAGTGAGATTTAAATCATAATGGATGTTTGCACAAACAAATCATTTTTATGGATTAATGCATAGAACAGGCACCAGTGTTTGTATTTGTAAATACTTTCCCATTGGCAGGAGTTCCCAAATGCCTTATTCCTTAGACTTCAGCATTCGGTTCACAGATCTTTAAAGGAGAACGATGGCTTGATGGCTTTGCATGTCATTCTTCATAGTAGTTGTTCAGGTTTTTTTTCCCCATGTGACCCAGCAAATGCCCACCTGTTCTGCTGATTCAGCTTTAAAATGTAAAGACTGATCTGGCCTGTTTTGACTCTTTATATATCATGGTAGTTCTTCCTCCTTACACAGAAGCCCAGGGAAAAGTAGTAGGATGAAAGTGACAAGATTTGTTTTTATTTGCCCCACCCCCACCCCACCCTTTTGCTCCTGCTGCTGCTGGCAAAGCAATTCTTCTGTGATTGGAAAGGATAGAATGATAGCAATCTATTTTTTTCTCCATTCTGGACTGGAGGGAGGAGGTCAAGAGGATTTTGTTCCAGAACCTACAGTGGTTTGGAGTGGGGCACTAATCAGTGTTATTATTTGCTGTCTCAAAATGCCAGCTGGAGAGAGAGCACTGTGCTTTTTTCTCTGCCTGGTTTGTGGGTTCTGAGGCTTAAAACAAGGAAAACAACCACATAGCCAGTTTCAAAAGTGTTTGAATGGACCGGGGAGTGGGAGTACTGCTATGTGGAACCGACCTGATTCAGATGGTACTTATTTCCATATAAATGTTCTTGGAATCTTAGCCAAAAGCAGTTGGGTCCAAAATGAGAATCAGTAACAGATAATAGAATTTAACAGATGATGTTAGTGGAATAGAATATTGGCATGGGATAATAGTCTGCTACTGCTAGATAAACATCTTGGCATTGCTTCCCATTTATCAAAAACAAATTCTACACAGAGCCCAGGGACTCTTTTATCATGCAAGAGACATTGCACTTTTATGGCAGGTTTCTGTTACAGTGACTTTATTTCTTTTGCTTTTAGCAACTGATGTAGATTTAATCATTTTATCTGATGGATGTCGCTAGTGCATAAGAATGATAGCTGTCCACCTTGCCATTATTAGAAAGTACTGGCTATCTGAAATAGAAAACACAGGCTGTGACCATTTGGATCAATTAGTTGAAGGTCAGTTTATGTGTGATTATTATTTTTCTTTTTTAAAAATTCCATATTAGGATTTAATATTTAAGTTATACGCTGCTGAATCCTTCCAGATTCCAAGCAGTTTTTTGAAGATTGAATAGTTTAAAATGTCTGCAACAAATGTCTGTTCAAAAGAACTTCCTCAAGGTCATAGAAGAATGTTAGAATGTTTAGGTTGTTAATAGAGTTTTTTTGAAGGTGTTAATAAACGTGGGTAAGGCCCAGTGGTGGGTTGCCCCCGGTTTGGACCGGTTCACAAGAACCGGTAGTAAAACCGGTGGGAAGCTCTGGCCACTGATCCGGATGTCATCAAGAAGCTTCTGTGCATGCCTGCGGCCCTGTTGCGAACTGGTAGTAAAGGTAAGTAGAACCCATCCCTGGTAAGGACAAGCTAGTAGATATCATCCACTTAGATTTTTAAAGCAGTGCCTTATCGAAGACTTCTCAGTAAGTTTAATAAGCATGGACTAAATGGACAGGTCCTCTTGTGCATAAGCAAATGGCTAATGAATGGAAAACAAAGAGTAGGGGTAAATATATTTCTCACAGTGGAGGGACATAGCTAGTGGGGTCCCCAAGGATTCTGTTTTAGGATTGGTGCTTTGTAATTTATAAATTATATGGAATCTGCTGTAATTAATGGATCAGCAAAGTTTACTGATGACACTACATTGTTCAGAGTGGTAAAAATAATAAGACACTGCAAGAAGCACCAAAGGTATCTCTGCACATTAAGGGAGTGGGTGTCAGTATGCCAAATACCATTAAAATGAACAAATATAAAGTGAAGCACATTGGTACCAAAAGTACTAACTACTAACACAAACTGATGGGATCAAAGCTAGCAGCAACTGATGAGGAAAGAGATATTAGAACAATGGTAAACAGTTCAATGAAGCTGTTGACACAATGTGCATCTACCGTAAAAAGAGATAACAGAATGTTAGGGATAATAAGAAATAATATTGAAAATAGAGATGCCAATATCATAATCATTGTTGTCATCAGCCATTCAGTCATGTCCTTAGATCCGCCATAGTCATCCCTGTGTCATCCTTTAAATATCATAATACCCTTATGTAAATTAGTGGGACAACCACAGCTGAACTAAGTGGGGTTTTTTTCCGGTAAAACCAATCTATCAGGGCAACCTGGTCTACCCAACTATGGGACCGAGCATGCTGCTTCCGGTTAAATATAAAATATAAAAAATATAAATTCAACACAGCTGGACTATTGCACATACAGTATGTCTGGTTAGAGCACCTCAAAAAGGATTTAGGGGAACTAGAGAAGTTTCAGAGAAGGACAAGTAAGATGATCAAGGGGATGGAACAGCTTCCCTATGAAGAAAGATTGTAACAATCGGATCTTTTAATATAGAAAGTATGTGAACAAGAGAGGGCATGATTGAGGTGTATAAAATTATGCATGATGGGGATAAAGTGGACAAGAAGAAGTTATTTTCCATTTCTCAAAACACTAAAACCAGAGGTGATCCAGTGAAATTGAATACTGAAAAAAAAAATCAGGACAGACAAAAGGATTTTTAAAATATATATATACAGCACATACAATGAACAAACTTTGGAATTTAATTTCATTATCATGAGATATGCTGGCTACCAGCTTGGCTGGCTTCACAAAAGGGTTGGACCAATTCTTGGAAATCATGGGGATCAGTTGCTATTAGCTTTTGTGGTCCTGTGACTGCCTCTGAAAGCCATATGCCGGGAGACTAGTGGACTTCTTTGTACAGCTGGTTCACCACTCTGAGAACAGACTGTTAGACAAGATGATCCAGGGTCTGATCCGGCAGGGCAGTGTTTGTGTCCTTGAGCATCAAAAAGAGCCTGACTGTAGTAGTTGCTAGCTGGCAACTGTAGCGGGCTGAATGACTGATCCAAATTTCACTGGTAGATAACACCGTGGATTTATAACAGAAAGAGCAAAAGAGCATGTCAATAACCTTTTCAGTTTTACACAGTTGACTAATGTAAGGAGGCAAAAAATAGTTGTGACCTGAAGAGCTAGTGGATGGTGGGAACTGGAGGTTTGTTGGGTGCCAGTATTAAAAAAAAAAATGCTGCATAGAAAGAAGAGAGAGCTGAGTGTTTCAGCTGCAGTTGCTGGAGGCCTATAGGGGTAGCTACCCTGGCAGCAGAATTATATAGGCATCTTTGCCTAAGCTGAGTTCCACCATTTCCTCAGTAAATGATGGCAGCATAGAAGTACCTGGGCATCTGAATGCTGGCAGTTCAAAAGACCTGAATACACTCCATACCTGGCCAAGAGAAATTAACAATGCTTTCATGTGAATTGGACTGAATTTGCTAGATAATACACCTGGAATTACAACAGGTATATGGACTATGCTGACCCTTTCTCGTCTATAGGAGATGTTTTTCCCCCTACGTTTATTTGGGCAAGAAGGTTTTTCCCCTTTTGTTGTCTTGTTTAAGAACTTTTTTCCTACTGTGTTTTCTGCGTTGACATGGTAGAAAACCAACATTTAGTATTATAGTTTGTGAATGCTGCGGGGGGAAGGTTGAGGAAATTGAGTAGATTTTTCCTGCTTCAGTGGTATTAAGCTAAAGAACTGGTTTGGGGGGAAGGTTTCTGTTTTATTTAAGGAATGGAAATGAACTTCAATGAAACGAGAATACAGTGGGAACTGCAATCAGTTTCTCCTAGTTTATTGATGTATGATTAGTCCATCTGCTTAACATGCAAACTTTTTAATATGATACTGTCACTCTGAATGTATTTATAGATCAGATCTTTCCTTGATTAAGGCAGCAGGGGTTTTTTTAAGGCATTTTTTTTTTAAATTGTGAGATCTTGATAAAATGCTTTAAAAATGATTGCAAGCTGTTATGGACCCAGATAGCCTGATTCTGTGGTGCCTTGCTGAAAAACAAGCTCTATTATGTGTGTCAGAGCTGTCTCCTGGTCTGTACACACAGTGTTACAGCCTGGAATGAAAATCTCTCCTCTATCTCCCTTCTGTTGAACTAAGCCTTTGAAAAGGACAAACTTGCTATCTACCATTGGCAAACACGGAAATGGATGCATTTGGTCAGCAGAAATGGTTTGTATAGGGGCTTTGTAAAAAAGACAAAAACGCAGCTGAATTGCTTGATTCAAGGCAGTTTGGCAGACCTGGGCGGCTGCAGCTTCTGCTCTCACATGCACACTCTTTCAGGCATTTGCTCTGATCAGTAGATGTTTCAAATACTCTGTTTTGCTAAAGAAGCCAATCCAGATAGCTTATGTACCTCTGGGAGACCCCATGATTTCCTCACCATGAAATCGCTCAGGTTGCACAAAGGGCACGAGATTGAACTGCTTATGGCATTTCAACATCCTATTATGTATTGAGTGCCACTGAACTTGAAAGTCAACAGATGAGTAAAGGCCAAAGGGCAGTTTTTTCCTTGGATGATAAGTGCCTCATGAATTACCGTATTTTTCGGAATATAAGATGCACCTTTTTACCCCCCAAAAGGGGGTGAAAATTTAGGTGCGTCTTATACACCGAATGTAGCCCTGCCCACCCACTGGCCCCCACCCTTTGGCCTGTGCCTTGCAGTAGTTACCTTCTTGCAAGCAAACAGCAAGAAAAAACAGCCCTTTCCAGCTTCAGCATAGGTTAATTAGCACAAGTTGATTAGATCGGCCTCCTGACTCTCAGCTGATTTGCTCTCAGCTGTTTTGCGCAGGGCTCTCCTGCTTGCTGCAAAGAGTGCTGGAGCAGATTTTTTTTCCCTAGCTATGCTGAAAAAACGAAACTGAAAGTAAAGCAGGCTCTTTCCTGCAACGTGACAAAAATGAGGCAGAGAGAGATTTATTTTTCTTTTTCCTCACCAAAAAAGGTAGGTGCAAACAATGGGAAATTTAGGGAAAAAGAGGAGAGTTCACAATTTTAAAACACAAAAGAAAAAAAGCTCTATTTAACTAGGGAATTGTAATAATTGAGATACTATTAATTGTATATTGTGTTGAAAGCAGAAATGGTTAAGTTGTGGTTTGGAGGAATATATGGGGGAAATTATTTGGTTCATTATTATTGGAAAATATAATTAATTGATTTGTAAAAAATTGGGTTGCATGGAAATAATTGGAATATTCATGTTCATATTGATTAATATACAAAAAAGATAGTTATATAACTAATTGATTTATATTAAAATGTTGAATTTGTATTAAACAGTTGTAATATTAAATAATTAACCAATGTGAGGATGGATATAAAAATAGATGACAATGGGAAGGGGTATAATATAGAGTAGAAGGGAAAAATTGAATTTGATTAAGATTAGAGATAAGAATGAAGGGTAATGGTTTTTTTTAAAAAAAATAGATGAGGAATAAATATGGCAAAAAGGAAATATAGAAATTGTAAATTTAATTGAAATGACTAAACACTGTTTAAATTTGTGAACCAGCCAAATACTCTGTTCAAAGAAAATACATTGTATGTTTGTATGTGTGTTTGTCTAAAAAATAAAAAAAATATTTTTTTTAAAAAAAGTAACCAAAAAAGGTAGGTGCATCTTATACTCCGGTGCATCTTATACTCCGAAAAATACAGTATCTTAAATTCGTATTTTTAAATGTTTTAAATCTCAACAATTGCTACAGGAATTCTGAAGTGTGTATTTTTATGCTGGAGTGAAACTCTCCGACTTTGAGAAAAGCTATCTTTGTATGAACCCATTAGTTCTCCAGCGCGCTGCTTGGAGAATCCAAAGCATGGGTTATTCTTAGTCTATTAGCCAGAGACTGAGTGTATGTTCCTTTAAATTTCTTGATCATGCCTCCTGTGCTCGGCTGAGGTCAGTTTTATTCACTCAGTCAGGTTGAAGAGACTGTTTTTTGGCTTGTTCTGGCGAATAGATTAATCTCTCCACGCTTTGGATTGCTCTTTTAGTTTTCCTAACTTTCTGGAGGAACTCGTTCTTGATATTTAATATCTGGAC